AGCCCTTATAACCCTTATAACCCTAACAACCCCAAAGCCTTGTAACCCTTACTTATAACCCTTATAACTCTTATGAACCTAATACCCCAATAACCCCTAAAGCCTTGTAACCCTAGCTCCCACTCTGTCTGGTCGCCGATCCCCACCGCTTCGTAGCACTTCACAGTCTGCCTGGTTCCGGGTACGCCGGGGCTTGTGGACTTGGGCGTTTCCGAAATTAGGGGTACCTTATTGCACCGTCCTTATAGTAAGGGAAATCTTAGTATTTGGGGTCCCTGATTTTTGGAAGCCCCCAAAATTTAGGGTTCAGGGCTTAGGGTTGAGGTTGTTGCTTGTAGGGTGGAGCTCCGGGTGCACGGAGCCTTTGGATTTAGGGTTCAGCGCTTCGGGTTCAGGGTTCAGGGGCTTAGGGTTGAGGGCTCAAGCGTTTCGGGTGTTCGGGGTTTAGGGTTTAGGGTTTAGGGTTTTGGGCTTTAGGGTTTAGCTAAGCGAGTGTCCCGCCTGGGGCTTTCGGTCCAGAGTTTGGGGTTCTAAGGGTTCAGAGGCTTAGGGTAGTAAGGCCACAGTTCCTGGTCTTCACGACGGCCTATCTAGCTCGGCACTAGCTCTGGGTGACCTCTGCTTCCTGTTTGTGGCTGGGGTTCGTGTGGGAGTACCCAAACCCTTCCAAGCCCTAAACCCGAAACTGGCCTGCTCGTGACCCCGGCCCCCGCAATGCCAGCACAGCCTGCCTCGGATGCAGAGCTGCCCCGATGCTTGTTAACCAGTTATTATAACTGTACTTCTAACCCACTTCTTAGCCCCTTCAGTGCCCTAATATGGTTACAATTTGGATTATAAGTACAGTGAAAATTTTATTTGATATGTGCCACGAACCTTCAAGCGTGGGTTTAGGATTTAGGGCTCAGGGTTCAGGTTTAGGGCTTAGGGCTATCCCGAACCCAACAGAGAAAAAGCCCGGAACCTCACCCTAAAACCTTGACCCTACATCCTAAAACCCTAAACCCTAAACCCTCCTAAATCATAAATCCAAGCCCCAAAACCTAACCCACTAAAACCTTATAAGCCCTGTCGCTTCCTTGTTAAGGAAACCTTGGCTTGAAAGACTTAAACCCTTAAACTCCTTAACGCCTTAAACTCCTTAACGCCCTAATAAGCCCTCAAAACTGTGCACCCTGTACCCTACTAAAACCCTAACACCCTTAGACCCCTAAACCCTTAAACCCTTAAACCCTGAAACCCTTCAAACCTCAAACCTTACCCTTTATGCAATTCCTTACACCCCTACACCCTAGACCCTAAAACTCTAAACCCCTAAACCCTTGCCCCTTTATGCAATCTGCGGCGCTCTCGGCGTTGCCGCCCCGCTTGCGGCCCATACGGAGCTCGAAAGAGATCGTGGAATCCGACGCAAGTTCCAGGTTGCCCAGTGGTTTTGGTTTAGGTCTCAGGGCTCAGAGTTCAGGGTTTGGGGTTTTGGGCTTACGGGGAACCTGACTCTTCAGAAAAAAAGGGGCGCAAAGGGTTCTTTTAAGAACGCCTGGGCGCTAAAAAACGGGGGAGAAGGGCCTTGAGCTTTGCGAATCGTTGACAAAGAGCGAACAGGGCGCAGCGCATTGCCCAAAACAAGCGGGGTCAACGTGTTGAAAGCCGGGCTGGGCTTATAGGGCTAATCGGGCTTAAAGGGTCTGGCGTTTAGAGGCTTTATAGGGTTTACATGGCGTTTAGGGTTTTAGGGCTTAGGGCTTAGAGGGTTTATGGGGTTGATCGGGCTTGTAGGGGTGTTTAGACGGTTTGCAGGGTTTAGGGCGTTTATGGCGTTTAGGTGTTCAATTCAGCTTCAGGTTTCCGGGAGTTCTTAACTAATGGGGCATATTGGGCTATGGGGGCACCCTAAGCAATAGAGCCCCCAAACCCAAAACCCCAGAAGTCTATTCGCCCAATACTCCCTACAAGCCCTATACATGTAGAAGCCTGAAAGCCTGAAAGCCCTAAACCCAACACCCTTTACCCAAAACCCTATACTCCTATACCCTATGGGGTACTGTACCTTATTGGGGCGCTTATTAAAAAAGGAGTCTAAACCCTAAACCCTAAACCCCCAAATGCGGGAACTCTATTGTCGAACCCCCCGAGGGTGCCTTTGGCTCCCCCGACAGCCTAAGCCAGAACTCGCGCATCCACAACACAAGAACCCCCTAGAGCGCTTAATAGGGAGGGCTTTGTAAGGTCTTATAGGGATTTATAGGGTTTTGTGGGGTTCAGGGCTTAGGGTTGAGGCTTGGGGCTTAGGCTAAGCCCCTTAACCGCTGAAGCCCAAAGAGCCCCCTGAACCCCAGCCCTACACAAAACCCTGAGCCTTAAAGACCCTACAAGCCTGAACGGTTGTGTTTTTTATTGTCTATTTCTGGGTTGCAGACCCACAAGCGGACTTGACCCCTCAACCCCATCAGCCCTATCAACCCTCTAAAGTCGACCTAAAACCCATGTACAAAATACTCTCAACCCACCCAACGCCCGAAACCTCCTCCCTAAACCCTAAACCCTAAACCCTAAATCCTAAACCCTAAACCCTAAACCCTAAACCCTAAACCCTAAACCCTAGACCCTAGACCCTAAACCCTAAACCCTAAACCCTAAACCCTCGCCCGCTTCTCTTTCCTACGCACCGAAAGGCAAGCGGTCGAGGTGCGTCGCTTCAAGAATCGGGCGGCTGAGGCCGCCGCAGCTCTCCACTTCGCCTCACTCAGCTGGCTTAGGGGTTTAGGGTTAGAAGGCTTGAAGTTTTTAAGCAGTTTAGGGGTTAGGGTTAAGGGTCTAGGGTTTAGGGTTTAGGGTTTAGGGTTTAGGGTTTAGGGTTTAGGGTTTAGGGTTTAGGGTTTAGGGTGAGAGGCTTGGAAGCTTTTAAGCAGACGGTTTGGTGGGCTTAAGCTTCAGGATCTTTGGTGTGTTCAGGGTGCTTAGCACCTAAGCCCTATGCCCCAAACGCGAAATCCTAAACCCTAAACCCTAAACCCTAAACCCTAAACCCTAAACCCTAAACCCTAAACCCTAAACCCTAAACCCTAAACCCTAAACCCCACTCCACAGACCCCAAACTGACCTTCCAGCACGTCGTGGATGGCGGAGGGCATGGTTCGCGGCCACCAGTTCCAGTTCTGAGCCGTCAGCCTCAGAGAAGGGGGAGGGGGAGGGGGGGGGGGGGGGGGGGGGGGGGGGGGGGGGGGGGTTTAGGGTTCCGGGATATCCAGGGTAGGGTTTAGGGTTTAGGGTTTAGGGTTTAAAGGGTTTAAAGGGTTTAAAGGGTTTAAAGGGTTTAAAAGGTTTAAAGGGTTTACAGGGTTTAAAGGGTTTAAAGGGTTTAAAGGGTTTAAAGGGTTTAAAGGGTTTAAAGGGTTTAAGGGTTTAAAGGGTTCAAAGGGCTTCAAGGGCTTAAAGGGTTTCGGGGTTAGGCTTTAAAGCTTTAGGGTCAGGGTTCAGGGCTTGGGGTTTAGGGCTTTATAAGTGACCTCGGAGCGAAATAACCTTTATGGCAAGGACCTGCCCCGTAAACGCTTGTGACAACCCTATAGTGCCACACAAGCAACCCTCCCAAACTCAGCTCCAAAATGACCACATGCCTTAGGGCGTTCAGTTTTTGGCTGAGACATGGGTAGATAACCCTAAACCCTAAACCCTAAACCCTAAACCCTAAACCCTAAACCCTATAAACCGGGCGTCAGGGTTTATAGTTTAGGGGACTCACCCTCAGTAACTGCTTTTGAAATGTCGGGTATGCCCCCCGCAAACCCTAAACCATATCTATACCCTCAAACCCTATTTTAGGGTTTAGGGTTTAGGGTTTAGGGTTTAGGGTTTAGGGTTTAGGGTAGCCTATAAACCCAACACTACCTACAACTTGAGCCGTTTAGTCCTCTCCGGTTATGGCTTCGTTGACATTCAAGGACCTATGATTGGAGGGGGAATGGTTTGCGACTTTGAGCAGTTGCAGGGTTGAGCACAACATAAAGAAATAGAAAGAGAGAGAGAGAGAGAGAGAGAGAGAAATCAAAAATAAAATAAAAATGAAAAATAAAACCGGTTCGCGGCTCTGTGATCGTTTGAGAGTGCTGCGTGTTAAGCCCTATACATCCTAAGCACAACCCTAATCCCCGCAACTACAAGTATCTATCAGCACTTGGAGGTTCATGGTACTTATTGACCAATTAAGACTGTACGTATAACCCACTCATAAGCCCCTTAAGTGCCCTGAATATGGTTCTCATTTGGGTTATAAGTACAGTTTTTTGGTCAATAAGTACCGTGAACCTTCGAGTAAAGCCTACATGGCTGACCCTAAACCCTAAACCCTAAGCCCTATGGACTGCTTTGTAAGCTCCAAGAGGTCGTTCCGGCCGTCCCTGCTTCTACCCTAAACCCCATAACAACACTAAACCCTAAACCCTAAACCCTAAGCCCTAAACCCGAAACCCTAAACCCTAAACCCTAAACCCTAAACCCTGAACCCTGAACCCTGAACCCTAAACCCAATCCCTCAACTGCAACCTCCGCCCCCAACCCTGATGGCCAAGCAGAGCAGCATCAGTGCTGGCACAAGCACTGTCCGCACCACAAAGGTGTCGAGCAGCCTTGGAGCAAAAAAGGGTCCATGGCATGGGGTTTGGGGTTTAGGGTTTAGGGTTTGGGGTTTGGGGTTTAGGGTTTGGGGTTTAGGGTTTGGGGGTTAGGGTAATCCCAACAAGGAAACAACGCAGGATCTCCCGAGGGATCGACCTGGATGCATCGAGCTGCCCTCACCTAACCACGAGGTTCTTGAGGCAGGGAGGGTCAGGGGGGGGGGGGGGGGGGGCCCTAAACCCTAAACCCTAAACCCTAAACCCTAAACCCTAAACCCTAAACCCTAAACCCTAAACCCTAAACCCTAAACCCTAAACCCTAAACCCTCGCCTCAGCGCACAGGGTTCTGGTTGGTGGGAGTAGGAGTTTTAGTGTTGAGGTACCTAGCAAGCCTTGAGGGAGCTCAGGGAGCCACAAGGGAGTAGGTTTAGGGTTTAGGGTTTAGGGTTTAGGGTTCAGGGTTGAGAGTTGAGGGTTGAGGGTTTAGGGTTTAGGGTTTAGAAGGTTAACCTTCAAGTTGGAAGGCGAAAGTAGGCCCGGTTGCCCACTCAGCAGCCGAGTTCAACCCACAGCCCCAAGCCTGTGAGTGGCTGCATCGCTCCAACTCGCGATGCAAAACTGGCCAAGGAATAGACTTAGGGTTTAGGGTTTAGGGTTTAGGGTTTAGGGCTTAGGGCTTAGGGTTTAGGCTCCGCCGTCGAACAAACGCTACAAGCCCCGATGCCCCTTCCATGCGGCATCTTCCACGAGTGAGTGTCACCTATTTTCCGGAATGATTGCTCCTAAACCCCCTAAACCCTAAACCCTAAACCCTAAACCCTAAACCCTAAACCCGAAACCCGAAACCCTAACCCCAACCGTTCGACGACCGAACCCGGCCACATGCAGATGATGCCAGCAAGGTCACGAGTCCCAACCTTTAACCAACTCAAGCGCTCAACAACCAACATGCTACAACTCTGAGAGCCCTGTAACTCCAAAACATTTCTCAGAGCAGAAATGCCTAAATTTTAACAACCACGTTGAGACCCACAACCCTAAGCCCGAAACCCTAGACCCTAAACCCTAAACCCTGAATCCTACCCACCACTCCCCAACACCCCACCGAGAGACACGGAGGTGATGATCAGAACGCCGAACTGCTGGAAGAAGATCTTGTCCGAAACAACCAAGCCTGTGGGGTTCAGGGTTACCGGCAACCCCTAACCCTAAACCCCAAACCCTAAACCCTCAACCCTGACCCCTGAACCCTAAACCCTAAACCCTTGGGGTCAGATCTCCCGAAAAACCCGGAACTGACAGCAACGCTAAAACTGCGAGCCTCATTGGCGATCAAGCAAAAGAAGGGATCATCAACACCCACACCCATAAGAAGACGGGGTCACTCAGCCATGGGCCCAAAAATGCAGATCCCAAAATCAGCGGCCGGAAAATGCCTCTCCAAGAATGCATCCTAAGCCCTAAGCCCTGACCCTTGAGCCCTGAGCACTGAGCCCTGAGACCTGAGCCCTAAGCCCTACCTACGAAGCCCGAAGCCCGAAGCTCAAAACCCGAACTGAACCCTTAGCCCTCGGCAACTGGTCCATACTCCTCGATTAAGGAGTGCAAGTGTAAGGTTTGCTGTACTGTAGGGCTTCCAGTTTCGAGTTTGGGGTCTTTTGGCTTTCAGGGTTTAGGATGTGGGGCTTAAGGTTTTTTTTGTGGGGGGGGGGGGGGGGGGAGCAAAGCCCTGGGCCCTAAACTCTAAACCCTAAACACTAACCCTATTCCCGAAACCCTCAACCCGAAACCCAAACCCCAAACCGTAAACCCTAAACCTGAGCCCGAAACTCCAAACCCCCAGAGCTTTCCCAAGGGCGTGCGCGCCTGAGAAGGCGAGGGACATGATCAAGCCAGCTCCCGAGATGACGTCGCCTGTTTTCAGCACGCCTGGCGCAGGGGCAAAGGGTCCCTAAAGCCCTTACGTATTTCGGGTTTAGGGTTTAGGGTTTAGGGTTTAGGGTTTAGGGTTTAGGGTTTAGGGTTTAGGGTTTAGGGTTTAGGGTTTAGGGATTTGACGGTTGGGGTTTGGGGTTTAGGGCCTTCAGCCCCAAACCGCTACGCGTCTCTAAGAAGGCAGAGGCTTCTCCTCTATCTGGGGGTTTCCGAACTTAGGGGGGTACTTAATTGGGGGTCCTGCTTCTAAAAGGGAATCCTACCATTTGGGGGGGGCTATTTTTTGGGGGCGCCCCTATATCTGGGACTGTGGCGCGTGGAGCTGCTTTTCAAGATCGAGGACGGGTTGAGGGCTTCGGGTTTAGGGGGTTTTGGGGTTTAGATGTTCGTGGCTCGGGTCGAGGGTTACTTATCGCGACCCTGAACCCTAAACCCTAAACCCTAAACCCTAAACCCTAAACCCTAAACCCTACACCCCAAACCCTGGACCCTACGCCGCGTTGTTACCACCAGCTCTAAGGCTTGATCCAGGAACCCCTGATTGCTTGATACCCTCCAAAACTATAGGGTTTAGGGTTTAGGGTTTAGGGTTTAGGTTTAGGGAAATCTGGAATATCCCAAGGGGCTGCATGGATTACAACAGAAGGCTAAGTGTTCCTTACTTAAGGTTGCACGCTACAACCCTAAACCCTAAACCCTAAACCCTAAACCCTAAACCCTAAACCCTAAACCCTAAACCCTAAACCCTAAACCCTAAACCCTAAACCCTAAACTACACGCTATAAAGCCTTAAAGAGGCTCTTTGGCTTGTGGCGCAGGCTGGGCCTCGAAAAATGCTGGCGCGGTCGGAATACCGTTGCAGGCGGAACTCCAGTATGCGACTTACCTTCACACATGAGTAGTTAGGGTTTAGGGTTTAGGGTTTAGGGTTTAGGGTTTAGGGTTTAGGGTTTAGGGTTTTGAGGGAAGGACAGGGTTTGGAGCTTAGAGCTTTGGACCAATCGGGCTTGAACGGGACGTCTAGGGTCTAGGGCTTAGGGTTTGAGAGTTGTTTGTGTTCATGGTGGCATCTCTTGCACACGTAGGATATCCCCAAAGGGCCCCCTCGTTTGGACCAGCCTTTGTGCGTGCTGAGGCTAGCTTGCAAAAAAAACTAAGCCCTAAACCCTGCACCTTTAGCTTCGTTTACACGACTGCCTTGTCTCGTCAGTGCGTGGAGGTACTGCTATGTGGTGGTTTACGAAAATAAGGGACCCCTGATATAGGGTTTAGGGTTTAGGGTTTAGGGTTTAGAGTCCCCTACGAAAGGACTCCCTTATAGTAAGGACCCCAAGAAGGTACCCCCGAAATTTCGGGAAATCCCCATGTTTCATCCAGGAGGCAAGGAAAATGTCGTAGTCCAAGCCCAGCGCAATGGCGATGCCCGTCACAAGGGGTATCACTTCGTAGGTGATCCCGTGAAAATACCTGAGTGCTTCTGCTCTTGCTTGGCTTCGCCGCCCTAAAAACCCTCAAACCCTAAAACCCTAAAGCTCCAATACAAGCCTAAAACCCTAAAATCCTGAAACCTACGCCCTAGAAGACTGCAAAAAAATCTTGAAACCGTAAACCCTATGGCGACGTAGGGCCCAACTTGCAAATCGAAGCTAAGGCACTGCAACTGCGGGCAGAGGCCGTGTAGAAGCCTGGGAGTTTGGGGTTTAGGGTTTAGGGTCTTAGGGGGCTCAACGGGTTTTCGGATTCCTGTTCTATGGTTTAGAGCTCAGGGTATAGGGCTTTAGGGTTTAGGGTTTTAGGGTTTAGGGTTTAGGGTTCAGGGCTTGGGGCTTTTTGAGTTTGGGGTTCAGGGTTTCGGAGTGGAGGTTGAGGTTTTTTGGGGATATTGGGCTTCACAGGTTCGTTTAGGGTTTAGGGTTTAGGGTTTAGGGTTTCGGGTTTAGGGTTTTAAGCCTCAGTCCCAAACCCATAAGCAAGCACCCATCGGAAGTCCAAGTCCTAGTCGTTTGAAAGTGTGGCTTTGCTTTGGCTTAGGGTTTAAGGCTCAGGATTCAGGAGTCTAGATGAGTCTCGGAATGTCTTGGATCCAGAGTGTGAGGTTCTTAGTACCTCACTCACCCGAAACTCTAAACCCTACAACCCTAAACCCCAAACCCCAAACCCTAAACTTAACTCAGCCATTCCCCTCACACACTTCGGCCGGTCTTGTCAATTGCGAGTCCTGGACTCACGGATAAAGATTCCCGCGGAGCATCCCACCGAGTAACTCCAGAGATCCACCCCACTAGGGTTTAGGGCTTAGGGTTTAGGGCACCTGCACAGAGCATTCTTGCAGGTCTGTGGCAGCCGCGACAGAATCCGGCGGCGAAGGGTTTTGGGTTCAGGGTTTAGGGTTAGCGGTAGGGGTGGGGATGACCGAAGCAAACACATCCCCATTTTTACCCTAAACCCTGAACCCTAAACCCTATAAACGCCCCATTAAACAGAGAGGTCTTGGAGCCGAGGGTGTGGCGGCTGAGGGATTTCGAGGCGAGTTGGCGGTTTTAGGTTTATAGGGCCTCTGGAGCCGAAAGAGGGTTTAGGGTTTAGGGTTTAGGGTTTAGGGTTTAGGGTTTAGGGTTTAGGGTTTAGGGTCCTGACACCGAACTTCAAAAGGGTTTGGGCGGTGTAGTTCAGAGGGAGAGTAGGTAACCCTCAAACTCCTAGAGTCTAACCTAGAGCCCCTAAACCCGACAACCCCAGCCAGAACCCCAAACCCTGAAACCCGACTGTCATCTCCTGAGTAAAGCTCTACACTCTACCCTAAACCCTAAACCCTAAACCCTCAACCCTAAACCCTCAAACCCTGAGCCAGACTTCAGCCGAAGCAGCGGCGTCTGGTAGACGATCACCCCCACGCCAAATGTTGCCACAAGCGTGAAGCACAGCCTTCAGAATAACAGCCCTCAACCCACAAAGCCCCAAAATTCAAGCCCTGAGCCCCTCTAAGCCCTGAACCCTCTGAACCCCAAACCTTAAGCCTAAACCCTAAACCCTAAACCCCAAACCCTAAGCCCTGAACCCTAAACCCTAAACCCCTCCCCCGCTCCCCCGAGGACCCCTGTAACAGTCTGTAGACCGGTATGTTTGGGGGAGCCAGAGCTCCTGTTTAGGGTTTAGGGTTTAGGGTTTAGGGCTTAGGGTTTAGGGTTTAGGGTTTAGGCTCCCCTGTAAACTCACCACTGGGTGCTCAACCCAAGCCTTTCGCAGCACCTGCTCAGCAACCACTTACTAAACCCTAAGCCCTAAACCCTAAACCCTAAACCCTAAGCCCTAAACCCTATAAACCAACCCTAAACCCTATAAACCAACCCCATGGCCTTAAAGGAGCATTAAGGAGCCTACCCCGAAACGCCTAGGCCCGACACCTCAAACTTTAAACCCAAAGCCCTAGAGCTCTTCAAAACTTTGGGCTTAAGCCTTACAGTGGCAACCAGTACCCGAAACCCTAAACCCTAAACCTTTTCCCTAAACCCTGAGCCCTAAACGACAGCAAAGGAGCGCGAGGGCTAGGCGCAAGGGCACCAGGAGGCTCTGGAAGGACAAATAAACGACCTGAGCGTGGAAGGTTTAAGTAGGGTTTAGGGTTTAGGGTTTAGGGTTTAGGGAAGAAATAGGGTCTAGGGCATAGGGGTTTAGGGTGTTTACGACCCCATGCGGTAGATGCCTTAGGGCCTATAGGAGCTTGCAGCTCAGGGTTAGGGGCTTAGCAGGGCCGGGTTGCGGCTCGGGGGTATACAGGGGGCTGGTTTGCGGCTCAGGGGTGTACCTGAGACCCTCTTTACCTACAGCTTGGTTGTAACTACCCTTAACTCGTAGGTAAAGAAGGGTCCCAGGTAGTCTTTAGATGATGTGATTTAAGGGTGCATTTCTTGACTCATTCAGCGGCGGCGCATCCTGAGCTGCCCGAATGCAAACGGCCATGAGCTCAAGACAGGTCCAGTTCTGACAAAAATCGGAAGTCCTTACAACCTGCATCTTGGGATGTTCCCACTAGCAGTCCTCAAGAGGAATACAGTACCCCCTATCACTATTCCGATGAAAGGCTGTTAATAGAAGGGGGGACATCCCAACCTGTATCCTCTACTGGCCCAGCCTGCGGAACGGCTTCGGGTAAGTTCTCCATTTCTCTAAACCAAATTCCGGCGAAGGAATGCTGCAGTCCGAGGCACGCTTGAAAACCATGCTTCACCCAAAACACTGACACCTCAACCCTCTAAACCCCAAACCCTAAACCCTAAACCCTAAGCCCTAAACTTCAAACCCTAGAACCCTGAGACCCTGAGGTACCGACACCCATGATCAGGGTGACGGTCACGGCGAGGTAGGGCCACATGGCTGTCAGGATCCTCAGACATAGGGTTTAGGGTTTAGGGTTTAGGGTTTAGGGTTTAGGGTTTAGGGTTTAGGGTTTAGGGTTTAGAGCCGACTCTGTGGACATAGGGGTTTAGGGCGGTTCAGGGTTTAGGGCTTTTGGGAAACCTACAAAACCCTACAACCCCCAATCCTTAAAGCCCTGAGAGCCCAACACCCTGAAACGCCTAGTTGGTGGAGCCACTGCCCTGGCTACACTGCTAGACAGGATAGGGTTTAGGGTTTAGGGTTTAGGGTTTAGGGTTTAGGGTTTAGGGTTTAGGGTTTAGGGTTTAGGGTTTAGGGTTTAGGGTTTTGGGTTTAGGGTTTAGGGTTTAGGGTTTAGGGTTTAGGGTTTAGGGTTTAGGGTTTAGGGTTTAGGGTTTAGGGTTTAGGGTTTAGGGTTTAGGGTTTAGGGTTTAGGGTTTAGGGTTTAGGGTAGGAGATTAAACAGTCAGGTGTCCTGGACCCTGCCCCCTGCGTCAGGAAATACATTCATGACGACCCTATACTTGTCTGCGGCCCCTGGATGTCTATGCCCCCTCGACCCTCAAACCAACTAAGCCCCTAAACCCTGAACCCTAAACCTTCAGAGAAAACCCAATATGGGGGCTTACGGAAACAGGGGGGTCCCCAAAATAGACCCCCAAATACAAAGATTCGTCTTGTAAGTTAAGACCCCAAGAAGGTACCTCTAATTTCGGAAACCCTCATACAATCTTCACCCTAAACCCTAAACCCTCTTTCCTAAACCCTAAACCAACAATTTCGGAAACCCCCACTATGCCTGCCGGGGGGCTCCACGCGCGTGTCCAGGGCCTCGGCGTTGCCACCGGCCAGGCGCGCGCGGAAACCCGGATGACGTGCCTGAGGCCAAGCTGGGATCTGGGTGGGTTTAAGGATGAGTCGTCGCCCTGAACCCTAAACCCTAAGCCCTAAACCCTGAACCCTAAACCTCTACACTCTATACCTTAAACTCTAAACCCTCAAGAAGCGAAGACCTAAAGTAGTAGCAGCAGGACTATTTTTGCGGGGTTCCCTTCTAGGCAGATGTTCCCGGGGCTGCCCCAGGAGTTTACTAGTTCATGGTTGGTATAGTATTAAAATTTTAAATTTATATTCCTTATTGGGTTCAAGTACCCTTAAAAATGTAAAATGTTACCCAACTATGACAAAGTTTAGGCTTTTGAAGGTAAGAGTTGGAAAGAGCTCAAAGGTTTAGGGTTCCGGGGGCTCGGGGCGTTGAGGGTTTAAAGGGTTTAGGGCTTGAGGAGTTCACGTTCATTTTTTAGTGCACAGGCCATTTTGGGGCCAGGCTCTGCGACTGGGGGGACTTTAAGGTCTGTAGTAGGGGTTTGGGGGTCTAGGGTTGTTTTCGCTTTGGGGTTTTGAGGTTTTAGAGGTGCTAAGGTTTCAACCCTAAACCCTAAACCCTAAACCCTAAACCCTAAACCCTGAACCCCCTTATCGTTTAGGGTTTAACGCCGGCCTCCCATTCTTTGAGAGTGCGCCGTGCATTGGCCGCCCAGTCGGCACCACCCGCACCTGCAGAAGTTCACCCAGGAGGCCCAGTACCCCTGCAAAGTTAAGGTTTAAGGTTGAGGGCTTAAGGAAGGGAATCTACGGTACCTTAAAGGTTTAGGTTAAGGGAATCTACGTCATACTACATTGGGGGGGGGGGGGGTGGTCCTGGATCTTAAGCGTCTTACCAAACAAACGGAAGAATATGGGGGTTTACGCTAATAGGGTACCCTCAGAGGGGGTCCCATTTAAAGGGATTCTACTACATTTGGGGGTAAAACTGGGCACCCCTAATGTTGACCTCGAATCAATGACCCCCCCGCCCCCCCCGTCTCAATTGTCCTTTTGTTTTCGCCCCGACCCCCTATTGAGGGGGAGGAGGGGGGGGGGGGGGGTCGGGCGGTCCCGAGCCGCCCCAAGCCCTGACCTACCCAAAAGGGCCCACAGAAAAAAAAAAAATCAGTCCCCGGGCCGGGATTCCTTTAAATTGAGGGGGGGTTTCCGGGCTTGGGATTCCTTAATTGAGGGGGTGTTTCTAAATCTGAGGTTAAAATGATTATCGGACACCCCCATGTACATTCATATTTTTTTAGGCTGGAGGTCTTTGTCCATCGTTTCTCTGGGATTGGAGCTCCAGCAACGGCTTGGGAAACCCTGAGCCCGAAACTCTCAACTCTGGGAATTTGAGCGACCAGTTTGCAGGGGAACCCTAAAGCCCTAAACCCTGTAAACCCTGTAAACCCTGTAAACCCTATAAACCCTATAAACCCTACAAACCCTGTAAACCCTATAAACCCTACAAACCCTATAAACCCTATAAACCCTACAAACCCCATAAACCCTACAAACTCTGTAAACCCTATAAACCCTAAACCCTATAAACCCTTAAAACCCTAAAACAAAAAACCTAAGCCCCATGCCCACCTATGGAAGGGAAGATGGGCCTAAACCCCTGAACCCTAAACCCTAGCCCTAAACCCTAAACCCTAAACCCTAAACCCTAAACCCTAAACCCTAAACCCTAAACCCTAAGCCCACCTATGGAAGGGAAGATGGTGTGGACTTGAAGCAGGGCATGGCGGCCATTCACGAACTGCTGCATGTAGCGCTCGTACCTCGGGTCTCGTAGATTTTGGGGTTTAACCCTAAACCATAAACCCAAAACCCAAAACCCGAAAACCCGAAAACCCCAAACCGTAAACCCTAAACCCTTAATAAGGTGGGCTTGTTGCGAGCATCTGACTTGCGCCCTCCAGCAGCCGCCTCCCGCCCCCACCCACCCCAAAAAAAACATCAGAAAAATGGCCAGAGACGCCCAAGAGCTCAAAAGCCTGACCCATGAACCGGTTTAGGGTTTAGGGTTTAGGGTTTAGGGTTTAGGGTTTAGGGTTTAGGGTTTAGGGTTAGAGTTTAGGGCTTGGGGATAAGGGTTGCCTTCCATTCCGCTCCCGAGACCCCTGGGCCATGAACCCAAATCTCAAGCCTCAAGCGTCAGCCCCGAATTCTTCATCAAACCCTAAACCTGTTCATTGTTGGGATAATATTAAAATTTTAAATTTATATTCCTTATTGGGTTTAAGTACCCTTAAAAATGTAAAATGTTACCCAACTATGACAAAGTAAACCGACCCAGCAAACTGCAACCAACTCTTGCGAAAAGGAGAGTGTTGCTTTCGGCTGGTTTTAGGGCTTAGGATTTCAGTTGCCGCGCTGTAGGTTCCTGAACGTCGCAAATCCCTGCGACCAAGCCCTAAACCCTAAACCCTAAACCCTAAACCCAAAACCCCAAACCCTAAACCCTAAACCCCTAACCCCAAACCCTAAACCCTACACCCCAGAAATGTGAGGAGCAGGGGGCGAGTCTCGCATGGCTGGGTTTGTCGCGGCCAGCAGCGCCGCAATCCAATCCACACCTCACCCCGTGGGTTCAGCTCGTGCCCAAGGGGTTTAGGGCTAGGGTTTAGGGTTTTAGGGTTTTAGGGTTTAGGGTTTAGGGTTTAGGGTTTAGGGTTTAGGGTTTAGGGTTTAGGGTTTAGGGTTTAGGGTTTAGGGTTTAGGGTTTAGGGTTTAGGGTTTAGGGTTTAGGGCTTCGGGGGGTTTAGGATGTTTGGGTTTAGGTGGTTTAGGGTTTCGGGTGTAGGCCTTAGAGATATAAAGTAATATAAAGCAAGGGGTTGTACCTACAAACCTGCTCATATCTCATGTCCTCCGAAATTCCCGAATGAAGAGGTGCGTGCCCTTGCACAGGGTGGCCCTACCAATCAAAACGACCTCGCCTAGGCTGGCCTGTGAGTTGAAGCCAGAACAGCGGAACCTGTGTACGTATGGCCATGCAGGCCACCAAAAGTCCTAAACCCCAAGTGCTAAAACCCTAAACCATAAGCTTCCAAGTCCCCCCAAACCCTAAACCCCCAACTCTCAAAACCTAAACCCTAAAGCAAAAACCCCCCCAAAACCCCCAAAACCCTAAAACCCTCAACCTCTCAATCCTAAAACCCTAAAACCTAAACCTCCAAAATCCTAAACCCTAAACCATGAACCCCACAAGTCCTAAACCCTAAAACCCTAAACCCTAAACCCCCGAATCCAAAAACAACCGAACGGCCGTAAACCTCTAAATCCTAAAACCCTAAAACCCGAAACCCCTAACCCCGAATCCTAAAAAACAACCGAAAAGCCGTAAGGCCCCAATTAACGGCTTGCTTGCTTGCCGTGGTCGTTCAGGGCTTGGCGTTTTTCCCCCCTGGAGTAGGGAACGAGGGAATGAGGGCCCTAGATATACCCTTTAAGGGATTGTATAGGGCCCCTCATTCCCTCATTCCCTACCAAGAACCGGCCAGTTTTGTTGGGCCCTTGGTGTTAGAGGCTTCCGAGTTCTTAGGGTTCAGACGGTGGGGCTTCGAGGGCCTACGTAGGCTCTGGGAGCCCTAAACCCTAAACCCTAAACCCTAAACCCCAAACCCCAAAACCCTAAACCCTAAACCCTAAAACCCTAAACCCTAAACCCTAAACCCTAAACCCTAAACCCTAAACCCTAAACCCTAGCCCTAAACCCTAAACCCCCGCTGGCCCAGCCGAGCAGCGCTGGTGGTAGGCCCAGGTGGGTCCCAGCATCGAAGACACGCTCTCCTCTGCATCAGAAAAGAGCTTTGACATCGTGGGCTTAGATGCTGAGTTCATAAGCCCCCCCTTAGGGTTTAGGGTTTTAGGGTTCTAGGGTTTTAAGGCTAGTGACCTGAATCGAGAGACGGGATCAGCCATCATTCAAAACCCTAAACCCTAAACCCTAAACCCGAAACCCTAAACCCTAAACCCTAAACCCGAAACCCACACCCATGTGCAGCACAATGCTCGAAGCCACGGCCGAGCCAAAGCCCCAAAACCTGAGACCCCAGACCCGAAGCCCTAAACACCAAAACCCGACATCCTACAGCCCCAAAAACCCTATAGCCCTAAACCCTAACTCTTAGACCCTAAAAAACCTCTAATATCCCTAGAGCCCAAAAGCACTAACAAAGACACGACAGCCCTAAAAACCTGAACCCTAAAACCCGAAAACCCGAAAACCCTAAAACCCCGAAGCCCTAAAGCGAAAAACCTAAAAAAACCTAATCCCCAAAGCCCTAAAACCCTGAAACCCTAAAATCCTAAAACCCTCAAAGCCCTAAACCCTAAACCCTAAACCCTAAAAGCCCTAAACCCTAACAGCCCTAAAAGCCCTAAATCTTTCGAAAACTTCGGAGCAGGCTGCAGTGCTCTAAGCCCTAAAAACCCTAAACGCCCTAAAAGCCCTAAAAGCCCTAAAAGCCCTAAACCCTAAACCCTAAACCCTAAACCCTAAACTTCGGAGCAAAGCTGCAGTGCTCTGCAGTGCGTCGCAGAGGTCCAGGACAGCCAGAAAGCCGCTGGGCAGCAGAAGCATGCCATGCTTCCTGCAAGGGAGCTGGGTGGTTTAGGGTTTAGGGTTTAGGGTTTAGGGTTTAGGGTTTAGGGTTTGGGGTTTAGGGTTTAGGGTTTAGGGTTTGGGGTTTAGGGTTTGGGGTTTAGGGTTTAGGGTTTGGGGTTTGGGGTTTGGGGTTTGGGGTTTGGGGTTTGGGGTTTGGGGTTTGGGGTTTGGGGTTTGGGGTTTGGGGTTTGGGGTTTGGGGTTTGGGGTTTGGGGTTTGGGGTTTGGGGTTTGGGGTGTGGGGTTTGGGGTTTGGGGTTGGGGGTTTGGGGTTTGGGGTTTGGGGTTTGGGGTTTGGGGTTTGGGGTTTGGGGTTTGGGGGTTGGGGGTTGGGGTTTGGGGTTTGGGGTTTGGGGTTTGGCTTTTTTGGGGTTTGGGGTTTGGGGTTTGGGGGATAGGGTTTAGGGTTTGTTTTGGGCTCTCAGCCCCCTCAACCCGAAACCCCTTAACCCCTGAGCCCTTAAGCCGAAGAAAGCTTAAACTCCTAAGCCCTAAATACCTGGAAAAACCCTTCAGCCCCTAAATCCCTGAGGCCCTAAAGCGTTCCACCCACTAAAGCCGATAAACTTGTAAACAAAACAGAATTCAGGGTTCAGGGTTCAGGGTTTAGGGTGCTTAAGGCTGCAGGGTTTAGGGTGGTCCCCAGCCGTAACCATAAAACTTACCCCAGACTCTAAGCCACAGAGCTAGACCAAACCCTACTTAGCCCAACCCCCCCCACCCCCCCCCCCAACTTCCTCAATAAACCCTAAACCCTAAACCCCAACTTCCTAAACCTGAACTGGATTCCCAAACCTGTGTAGAACTGCACTGTGAGGGGTTCCTAAACCTCGGTTGGTTCTTAAGAGTTTAGGGTCTAGGGTTTAGGGTAACCCCCGACTCCATACGAAGGATTCATGAGGGCTCATTCGGGCTTGATTCGGAGGCCTTCTTGGGGCAATATGGGCCCTTATATACCCCTGCATCCTGATTTTGTTTAGGGTTTTTATGAGCTGGAAGGTTTAGGGTTTGGGAAGGCCTGAGCCCTAACATCTTCCAGCCTGTCTGTCATTGTCTGCGCGTGCCGGACCTGAAATCCGTGCGAAGGGTTGGGGCGAGGATGGTGTTGCTGACTTTGCGGTCTCCAACTCCCCCCGGAAATGTTGTAGGGTTTAGGGTTTAGGGTTTAGGATGTAGGGTTTAGGGTTTAGGGCATTTAGAGTTCGGGGTTTGCGAGTCACACGGTGCCCCCACGCCGTTGATTGCGTGTGCTGGCTCCTGGCGTGAAGACCCTCCACAGCCATTGAAGCTTGGGGCTTAGGAGGTTGCTCACGAAGACTTCAGGGTTTAAGGTACTGAGGCCTTCTTGCTTATACAAAAAACTTTGAAAGGGGGCTTAGAATGTTAACAAAGAATGTATGGCCGGTGCTTTAGGGAGCTTGTGGTCTTTCAAGGCTTGAACGGCTTGCGCGGCTCACAGGGTTTACGGGGCAGGATCACAGGTTCTAGATGCCTTGAAGAAACCCTCAAGGGTCATGGGCCTATGTAGTAATTTACCTGGGCCCCGGGTTGAGGGTTTAGGGTCTAGGGTTTAGGGCTACTACATGATGGGAACCCCTGTAAGGGCCAAGTACATACTACATGTTGGGATGTTCCCCCTTATACTACCAGTCCTAAACCGGGAGTATAAAACGGGAGTACTTTTATCCCAATTAAGGACTGTTAGTATCTTATCAGGGGCAAATCCCCACGGTATTGGGATTCCTGGGTTTTTCTGAGGGCTTGGAGGGTTCGGGCTTCCCAGGGCCTTGAGATATGGCCCCTTCCGGAGTTCCTGTCTGTACAGATGCATATCCATCTATCTGCCTACTTGGTTTTCAGGGTACTCCAAGAACCACCAAAGCCCAAAACCCGAACTAAACTCCCTAAACCCTAAACTCCCTAAACCCTAAACCCTAACCCTATGACCTTCAATCCCAAATGTAAGGAAATCGCCTCCCATGTCTCCCAAGCACTTACCCGGCTTGCGGGCAAGGAGCGACATCCTGGATGAAAGGGTACCTCGGACTCGGGGCTTCAAGAGTAGCCTAGGAATGAAAAAGGGTGCCCTTTTTGGTTTAAAGGGGGTTACAAGGGAACCTGATCCCTAAAAGAAGGGGAATAAGGGCCTACTCTGGGTCCGAGCCTAAGT